GGCAGCGGCCATCACTGGGTGTAATTACCTCTCTTTAGGGGTGTGTTTAATACCATTGCGTGTGCAACCTCAAGGGCACCAGCGGCACTCAGCTGGACATGTGTTCTTGTGTCTTTTTTAGGTATCCTAAAAAACTGGTTCAGACCTACTCTGTCTTTCCTAACCAAGATGAGATGAGTGATGTTGTCGTACAGCCGTATAATTCTCTTCTGACGCTAAAGAGACTGACCCAGAATGCAGACTGTGTGGTGAGTGAATGAACACATGCACATATACACACATGCGCGCACACACACACACACACACACACACACACACTGTCTCTTAACCTTTTCAGCTGGCCTAGAATTCGGGAGGAGGTGTTACACACCCGTACACACACACACACACACACACACACTCCAGGGTTGTGGATCTTAAATGAATGTGTTTCTATTTGAAACAGAGCCCCTCTCATATACAGCCTGCTACTCTAACTGCACATTTCCTCAGTTACACAATCCACCTTCCCAAACAGACCTTCTTTCTTCCTCTCCTGCTTTCATTCCCCAAACAGCAGCGGATGGAGAAAAGAGAGTCAGTCCTATGTGATTATCCACTTCTCTCCTTCCATTTCCTCCTTATTAACAATAGCTTGGTCCCTGGGTTCATTTCATAAACCATGCAGAGTACTGTCATATCTGTACATCTGGACTGTAAGTAAGTAGATATGTCAACAACACTTTCTATTTTACTTTCATACTGATATCCATCAGCACATGATTGAGCAGATGTTTATTCAGCAAACACATCCTATTGACTCTCTGAGGAGCCAGTAATTGTGTTTGTATATCCTTATTTGAGTTTTAAAGGGATTTATGGGTTTGATCACCAGAGCAAAAGACTAAAGCATTGCATCATTATTCATATCTCCAGCTAATCTCTGTGTGTGAGGGCTGCGGTTCAGAATAGATTGGGCTTTAGTGGAGCAAATGTCATTAGTAAAGGGTAAGATCTGTTTTATGCATATTGTGTTTCTTGCAGCTGTCTGCTAGCTTCATTATCGTCTCTGGCAGATATAATAATGTCAGATTAGAGAGTCAGCACAAAAGATGAGGAGGTTAATAGAGGTAGATGACTTTCTGTCTTTCTTTGATGAGAATACAGATCTAGAGTTAACGCCAAGTCTGAGGCATTATTCTTAACTCTTAATTAAAAAGAAAGATATTTCTGTCAAAATTTGTTCACCACCAATTTTGTTCTAAACCCATTAGACTTTGCTTATCTTCGAAACACAAATTTAAATTAAATCAAGCAAGATTTCTGTTCTTCCTTTAAAAAGTCAGTTTCATCCAAATATTCCTGCTCTACAATATATATTGTATAAATGTAATACAAATTAGGGACAAAGTTCATTTTAAAGGGATAGTTCACCCAAAAATGAAAATTCTGTCATTAATTACTCACCCTCATGTCGTTCCAGACCCATAAGACCTTTGTTCAACTTCAGAAAAATTTCTTAATATGTGTTCCAAAGATGAAGGACGGTCTTACAGGTTTGGAACGACATGAGGGTGAGTAATTAATGACAGAATTTTCATTTTTAGGTGAACTATCCCTTTAAGATTCAGTTTCTTTCAGTTCATTAGCTGAAATTTGAATAAAAATGGCCAAGAAACATCATATTGAACTTGGAATATTCATTGGTACAAGGTTTGCAAAAAAAAAATAAAAATTTATAATTCTAACATAATCATCAGCACGGTCAAAAAATTTGCGCAGCCATCAAAAGAGTGTATGATTTTTCCATGCCACATAATATTAACCACGTTGTTTTCAGATGAAAATAAATATTGATATGAAATTCTGTTGGAAAAATAAATATTGACATTGTGCTTCACTGTGACTGTAAGCAAGATGGCAATTCTTGATACAACTCACAACAATGAATTTCTTTCATTCTGATTCCACTTCTTTAAATTTACATTTATTCATTTGGCAGACACTGTTATCTAAAGCGACTTGCAGTGTTTTTAAGACAAACCTTGTATCTATTTTCGTTTTCTGGAAATTAAACCCATGACCTTGCCAATGTTAGCATCTTGCTCTACCAGTTGAGTGTTGCTTAGTTCTGCAAGAGTCTCTATTTTCTCATTTGAATTACAATACAATTTTAAATACTGTTGCTATCTTAATTCATATTTAATTAGCATTGTCAATTCCATTCAAATGGATTTGTCGACTCAGACTGCCTAAAGATCTTAGGGCCTGAGAAGACCTACAACACACAGTCTTGACATGTTGTTAAAAATCTCTTTCCTTTTCTTTCAGGTGGTGCTGGACAATACTGCTTTGAACAGAATCGCAACAGACCGGCTGCACATTCAGAAACCCTCATTCTCTCAGATCAACCAACTAGTGAGTTTAAAAATTCTGTCATTTACAAATGAACGTGTGAAAATACAGGCCCCATTCATCTGTCCTGAGCTGAGCTGACAGGCCTGGTGTGGTTCATGTAGGGACAGTAGAGTCACTCCTCATCTATTAATCACAGTTGGGCGCTGGCAGCTCTCCTGCGATAAGATCTGCATTTACATAATCCAGACAATCAGAAAATCAACCTAACTAAAGCCAGCCGTGAGTTTGATTTCGATGTGTATATATATATGCAAATGTCAAGAAAGTGTATAAGCTAAACCACAAAATGTTGTTCTATCACAGCCGTGTTGTATTATCTGCATAAAATCTGAAATGGAACAGCCTGTCAGTTTCGGGAGGATGAAACATGGGGAGTTGCCTGATCCGAAAGTTGTAATCAGCAGCCTGACATGCTGTTGTGTCACATTCTAATATGTTGGTAATAAATAACCAGTGACATCCCGTGCAGCGCTCTCCTATGCTTTCCTCTTATACGCCCATTTTTATAGCACCCTGCTCCGAGGTGAATTGTTCACTTTGTCAACTCATCCATCACAGTCTTCATCACCTCTGAAAGACTCGGTCATATGAAATGGTGAACTTTAACAATACAGTGTGTAGATTTCTGTAAAGGGTGACCAGAGTGCAAATAGAAAACCTGTTTCACCAGTCTAGGCTATTGCGTTCTTAAACGCCAGCTGCTTTTACATATACGACACGTTTAGTGTCCCATTAGCACACCCAAATAAATTAAGGCAACACAATATAAAATGAAAATAAAGGAGACTGGTCTATTTTTGGATTATCAAAAGACAAGTGTGCTTTTCTTTAACAGGTGTCCACTATAATGTCAGCAAGCACAACAACCCTCCGTTACCCTGGATATATGAACAATGATCTGATTGGTCTGATTGCATCACTCATCCCCACTCCCCGCCTCCACTTCCTCATGACTGGATACACACCATTGACCACCGATCAGGCCGTAAGTTGGTCAAATGCAGGAATTTGCATTAAGATCCTTTTCCAAAAATGCAAAGGCAGTTGCAACTCTTTGTTCAACTCACTATTGATTCCAGTAGTTTTATGTTAGCATGTTGCTGAGTTAATGACTCCGATTACAAATGACTCATTTTTAATTACATCAAATTGATCTGTGAGAGAGGGGGACACAGGAATATTTCCTGATCATAAATTTATGGGTGTAGTTCAAATCAGTCTCAGCCAGTGGACTAAACATAAGCTGTTTTGGTAGTGACATGAAAAATGTGGGACATATTTTTTTTACATAGTGTCTGTTTACAAAGGGGGAAAAAATATATATATATATATTATATATTTTTATTTATTTATTTATTACTTTTCCCCCCCAGTAAGTAATCAAAAAGATATTTTTAAAAACAGCAATGGAAAAAAATACAAAAAATATTTCAATATTATTTTCATAAAGGGTTAGGGACAGGCACCTCCCATTTGAAAGTACCCAATAAATGATGATATTATATATATATATATATATATATATATATATATATTAAGCTTACTAATGTTACAATTACACTTAGATGCTTTTTAAATGTGTTTTTTGGTTGTGGGAAAGCAGTTTGCACCAATTCTGTAGAATGGCCCTTGTCCGTTATCAGCCATAAAAGGAGAATTATTATTATAAATAATTATAATTAACATAGTAATTAATCACGTTAATTAGTTATTTTCTCAGAACCCTAAGCACCACTGAACAGGGTTTCCATGGTTATGAAAAACCAGGAAATATCAAGCAATTTTTAAAATTGTGATATCCAGGCCTGGAAAATTAATTCAATAGCAAATATAAGCTTGTCTGGTTATGCTCAACTCTAAAATAATTCATCAGATAGACTGTCCAAGAGTGCAGTTGCTATGAAATGTTTTTAAAAATCCATATGCAGTAATTGCATCATGATTGGAAACTCGTGTGTGTAGAAGGGCTAGATTTGAGCAGACTCTAATGTCTGTTCTCCTCTCCCTCACTCCTAGTTGTTTGAGCGTACCTGTCGTCAGTATGATAAGCTGAGGAAGAGAGAGGCCTTCCTCGAGCAGTTCAGGAAGGAGGACATATTCAAGGACAACTTCGACGAGCTGGATAACTCTCGCGAGGTGGTTCAGCAGCTTGTGGACGAATACAGCGCCGCCACCCGTCCCGACTACATCTCCTGGGGCACACAAGAGCAGTGAAATCCCCTCCGCTCACTCCCTAAAGCTCTTAGAGCGGAAACAGGCAGGTATTGTAAAATACACAATGACTCCAGTAGAGCATAACAGAATTTCAGTAGTGAACGCACCTCCAGAGATCTTTCACGGCTCACCATACTGTTCTGCCAGAGGCTTCTCTGCATTACTGCTTACGTATGTATATACATGTCATTCGTCATGTTTACGGGCCTATAGAAGAGTTCTTCATAACCTGGTGCCTCTATCCTGAGCTGTAACTTTCACTCTTTCTCTCTCTCCTCCCGATTTCCTTGATTTCTTTGATCAGAGAATTTATGGCTCCGTCTTAATCTATTTTTGTACTGCACTCTGCACTCTTCTGCACAAATCTACATCAATCTACGTCAAGGTGGCCTGCACACAGACTTCCCTGACCACACACACGTTAGACGTCTACACCGATAAGACTGGGTGGTCTCAGATGAATGTAACTGTAGGGAGGGAGTGTGAAAGATTAAGCCTCTTAGAAGAGATCAGACTAGAAGCAGCTTATGAATACACCATCTCACTCCCTCACGTTCACGCATGCATGCTTTTAGACAAAAGGCGCCTGCTTTCAGGGGATAGACTATGATTGTGCGATTGAATCAATTTTCCTCTCGGTCTCGTTGTGGCGGATTACTCTCAAAGATTAACTTGAGTTTTTGAGAGACGATCAGTAAAGTCAAGTGTTATGCTGTACCTCAATCCATCCAATCGGCGAACTCTCATCGGGTTCTTCAAGTCAATCAAATCAGTGAAGTTACCTCAAAGTCTCAGAATCAATCATACACCACAACCCAATGTTTCTTCATTTGAATAATTTATTCTTCGGCTCCAGTCTTCCTTGTGCTGGAGTGAAACTTTCATGCCAGATTTCGTTCTCGATGCTTTTTTTCCCCCCTCGGTTACCACATGTTCTTGTTATTAATGTTATACTGTGTATATAGTTTGCTGTCAGACTTGATACATTTACCTGAAGTTCATGAGTTTGAATAAATGTTTTTCTACAAGAATATTTCCATAGCGTGCAAATACTGATTACCCTCAAAACCATCTGCGCTCATGTCATAGTCACCCACATGGGTCATTTGACCTTAAAACACGAAATATCTCTGGAATTAATGCCTTTACATTTGTTTACCTCTTTGGTCTTCGTCTCATATTCCAATACTTGCGACAGATACTGATAAGCTGAGTCAAGGACTTACTCTATATCAGGTGTGTCCAATCCTGCTCCTGCTCCTTGTTTAGCTCCAACCTGTCTTAACACACTTGTCTGGTAGGTTCTAGTAATCCTGAAGACCTTGATTAGCTGGTTAAGGTGTGTTTAATTGGGATAGGATACCCCACATGGTAGCAGTTACACTTTCTTCCGAAGTGTCTTCCAAAGAAGTCTCTGTTTCTTCCAAAGGTCGCAGACATTTCGTGTCTCTCCAGTGGAATTTTTTATTAGGGACACGCTGGTCCCAAAACTTAATTTCATCTATCAAATCAAGGGACCATTTCTCAGAACTGCATGTTACTTTCCTTGTAACTGGCGTGTTTATTTTCAACAGTTGGTTTCAGTGGGGTTTTTAATCTTTTCTACTCAACATTATAGGGTCTTGATGCCTGGTTTAGTTTAATGCATTTCATTTTATAATAAAGCTTGAAAACATGACAAACAGGCAAAACAATCTAGATTTTGACACTTCATAACATTTCTAAATATGATTAAATGTCTATTATTATTTAAATATACTAACAAATTAAAGCATTGTTCTTCTAATATTTTTCTATGAATCTGCTTGAAAATAGTAAGCATATGGAGTGAAAAACACTATTCATGAAATTATATCACTTTAAAATATATACACTACTGTTTAAAAGTTTAGGGGTTCATAACATTTTTAAATGTTTTTGAAAGAAGTCACCAAAGTTGCATTTATTTGATATAAACTAAAAATTTAAATATAAAAAAAAAAAGTTAAGAGTGTGAAATATTACAATTGAAAATAACAGTTTTTATACAGTACTGTTTTGTTTTTTTTATATATATATATATATATACATTTTTTTTTTTTTGTAAAATATAGTTTTTGCTGTCACTTTTTATAAATTTAATGTATCTTTGGTGAATAAAATATTACTTCATAAATATGTAATATACTAATAATATAGTATTTTTTATTTTCCACATTAACAACATATCTGACACTCATGTGATGTTGTAATGGTGCTGCTTTTTATTACATACAGTATTCATCATTTTGCATTATTGCACATTTAAGTTAGCTGTACAAGCAATAGTGCAATTGACTATTACACGTGTAACATAATAAAGGTACCATGCAGCATACAAACCATCTAAAGCATCAGAGGTTGTCGTTCGAGTTTTGTTACATGTATGACAATGGGCGGAGCTGCCTGCAGCTAAAGAGTGACATGAAGAGAACACAAAAGCACGTAACAACCGCTACTGCCGTCACGGGCTGTAGGAGCAAAAGACAAAAACCAAAATAAACAACATTGAAGATGTGATTGCCCTCCACCTTTGAATTTCAAGTAGCTGGTAACCTTTTCTCAGATGTGTATTCAGGCAGACAAGCTGCCCTAGAGCAAAGATAGTGCACAACCAAAACAAAGAGCCTGATTATGGAGTACGAGTGAATTAAAGATTTTACAGACTGTCTGACAGGCACTAGTGGCTCCTCTTTAGGCAACCTAAAGCCCCATACCGAAAATGGGCTCATACTCAGGACATCTGGGCAGGTTTTATTGCTTCAGTAATAGTTTGGCAGTCATTTGATGGGGGAAAAATAAAAGAAAACGAGGGGAAGAAGCCTCCAACCCCTAAATATTTGGTCCATGTGACTTTAAAAGGGGCGAATAACTCTTCATTTTTTTTTAGTTATGACAAAATGTCAATAATCCTACTGGATATACAAAAAAACGGATCACTTGCCATATGTAGACCTCTCGCAGGGGACAGGGGAAATAAATCACAAATTATCAAAACAGTAAATAAACATTATGACATCATATTTTAACTATGACGGTATCTGCTCTTTTGTAATTATTTCAATGCAAGCACTAAAATACAAATACAGGTCTTTATGAAAGAGATATAAAACAAAAGTAAAAAGGACAATAAAAAGTCACTTCCACACAATGTATACAACAGACAGCCATAAATAAAACTCGAGAAAAGTAACACACATTAAAGAAGGACAATATATACTCTCAGCAGATAAAAAAAAAAAAAAAAAAAAAGCCGGCATAAGGCTTCATAACAAAAGCACAACTGACAGAGGCTACAATTTACGCTCAAAGCTCATCATTTACATACTTTCATGACTTTCTTTATTGTGTGGAACATAGAAGAATATATATATATTTATTTTTACAATAAAAGTCAATGGAGTCCAAAGTAATGCTGTTTTGGACCCTATTTACTTTCATAATATGAAAATACCAGAAATATATCTTCTTTTGTGTTCAGCAAGATGAAAGACGGGTTAGTAAATGATAACTACATTTTCATTTTTGGGTAAACTATCCCTCAAATGGAAATGTACTATCTTTAGAATACATGATGACAATGTTGCATATCAATAGTGTTGATTATTTGTCTATCTTCAGTGTTTGAAAACGTGCTTGAGAGGTCTGGGAAGCTTGGTTTGAACTAAAATTGTCTTTTTCTTTTTTTGAAAATGTGAAAATGTCATTTACCTTCACAGGTACCAGGCTGCAAACGGTTGTGTCTAAGTTAGTTGGTTTTAACCGGATGTAAAGATCTGAGGCTGTTGTGGCTACAGGACACACAGTGCAGAGTTACTGTAAGCTAACAGCACAGTCAAGCAGCACCAGGTCGGGCTCAAAGCATTTCACAAAATACACTCACATCATACAGACTAGCTAAAGATCCTTTGGCTTCTACAGCTTAAAATGTTCAAATCTGTCTCTCACGCACACACGCACCACCGTCGCTTCAGTATTGGACAGTTCTGAAGGTCGACGTGAAAGTGACTTGCACCTGCTTTCATTTCAAGGTCAGGTACGGTTCGATGAATGAGTTAAATGGCGACCCAGGCAGGAGTCTGGAAAGGAAAGTTTAAAGCGGAGCGAGCTTTTATGTGTGTGTTGTCTTCTTTTAGTGAAATACTAAGACATCACTGCAAAAATGTAAAAAAAATATTTTTGTCATGTTTTCTAATAAAAACAAAACAGAAACATCCTTTAAACAAGGTAAATTTATGCAAAAATAAGAAAACGAAACTTCCTGAAAAGTTAGTCTTAATACTTGATGAATTCAACTGATGATTGATGAATGAATTGACATTTAATTAAGGAAAATTAAATGTATTAACATTTTTCAAAGCAAGTAAAAATAATGTTGTTTTAAGGATGTTTAAATATTTAAAAAACAAGGCAAAAATACTGCTTAAGAAAAGATTTTTGCACTCTGAAGTCAGGCTTTTATGCTCTCTGTGATATTTGGCGGGCTCCCAGATGGCAGGGGCCGGTTGAGGGCCCCATGTCCTTTCTGAATTTGGCTGGCGGTGTAGCAAGTGAGTTCCTGAACCTGCTCTCCTGTTTGTGGCTCCCTGGACACCTTCCACTCCTCCTCCATTTCCACAGCATCTGCTCCTTTCAGTCTCATCTGAGTTTGTACTCTTTGCAAAAGCTCCTCACAGGGAAGCATTCGGTCAGGACTGCATATACACGTGTGCATCAGTCAGAGTCTGTGTGTGTGTGCGCACGAGTCCTTCTCTCTTCACACCGGGTGAGAGGGGAGCTCAAGTAGGGAGGGGTGGAGCTTAGGGTTTGTCTCCATGGAGATGCAGTCATCCTTGCCTAGCTGGCGACGGGTGGCACTGAAGTAAGCATTCATCAGCTGCATGATCTCAGTCAGCTGAGAGAGAGAGAGAGAGAGAGAGAGATGACTTGAGTAAATTTCCACTGTCAAATGTGTGTCAGACATTTTACACTAGTACAATCACTTGGTTATACTCTTGAAGGCTTTGTGCACTAAACTTAACCCTGGGTTGACAATTTTTAGGTTAGCATGGCTCTAGATATATTCATGTTTTTAGAGTCTCTAATGCTCATCAAGGTTGCACGTATTTGGTAAAAATGCAATAAATGGAATATTGTGACATATTACAATTTAAAAGGACTGTTTTCTATTGTAATATATTTTTAAAATATAGCTGAATTTTCACCAGCCATTACTCCAGTCTTCAGTGTCACATGATACTTTAGAAACCATTCTAATGTGTTGAAACTTCTGCTGCTTAATATTATTTGGAACCTGTGATACTTTTTTCTTTGATGAATAAAAAGTTTAAAAGAACAGCAATTATTCAAAATAGAAATATTTTCTAACAATGTAAGTCTTTACTATCACTTTTCATCCATCTAACACAACTTTGCTGAATAAAAGTATTAATTTCTTTAAAAAAAAAAAAAAAGAAAAACCATTTACTGACCCCAAACTTTTGAATAGTAGTGTATATTGTAACACAACATTTCTATTTTTAATAAACACTGTTCTTTAACTCTTTATTTATCAAAGAATCCTTAAAAAAAGTATCACATGTCCCAAAAAATATTAAGCAGCACAACTGTTTCCAACATTGATTATAAATCAGTATATTAGAATGATTTCTGAAGGATCATGTGACACTGAAGACTGGCGTAATGATGCTGAAAATTCAGCTTTGCCTCACAGGAATAAATTATATTTTAAAGTATATTAAAATAGAAAACTGTTATTTTAAATTGCAATAATATTTCACAAAATTATAGAGAAAAGAGTTTTTTTTTTTTAATGAAATCCAACAGAAATTGACAGCTGCACTTGTTTATCACATTTTTAATTTGTTGTACTGACATCCATACGTGTGATTATGGATCAGAATAGCTATAGGCGAATGTTGATGACTGAGAATGACTGGACGTTATTAACAGTTTATGCGTGAACAGATGTTCTTGCATCACTCAGAAGGCAGGCAGACATGAAGTCAAGCGGTTTGGTATGAAAACTCAAGAGATTCATCAGGTTCATGACGGCACAGGATGGGTGTGAGCCTGCAGCTAATATCAGGAGAAGATAGACTGGTTGTCTCAGTGAGCACACAGAAACACACAGCTGGTCTGACCTTTATTGTTTGAGTACTGGGAAGAGGTTTGTAGTACGCATGATACAAACACTTTGACGTCAATGTCTTTCTTGTTTAGAGCCATTGAAGGTTACATGATTCATATGTTAACTCTTGATTTACATAACATACATATGATGTATTTTGTACTTTGGTCTAAAACTCTGCCTTAGCTATAGGGGTATATGCTTCCCCTATTAAATCTGGAGTATTTTGGCCTAACAGTATGCATGCATGATGCTAACATGAAGGCCAAGTTGCATTTCACCATTACTGCTAGAGTAAAACTATAGGTAGACCTGCCATCTGTATATAAAATGCTCTGACAATAGTTCTATTCATTAAATGTTTTAGATTTGTTGAAGAAATGTAAGTGGTGTTTCCCTGACGCAAAGATATTGTGAGTGGTTTTGTGGCTGCCAGTATTTTAGTATTATCTATATACTATTATGACATTTACGCGGGGCATAGAGGAGAAACAATAATGTACAGTATGTGGAAAATAATGTGGTTTTTGAACCTTAAACCGCATAAACATTTCATTACACCAAATACACAAAATAATGTTCTTTTTAGCAACATCATATGACCCCTTTAAATTAGCTCTTGTTTTTTTATATTTTTTTGTTTACATTTTTTTTAATTACTTTAAAAAAATATTTGTATACATTTTAATTACTTTTTAAAATATATATTTCTATTTAGATTTTTTGTATTTTAGTTTTAGTCACTTTATTGCTTTTGTTATGAGACCAGTTAGGGATATTGCTGATATAAAGGTGCTATTGCACGCTTACCTTGGAGGTCTCGAAGAGCAGATCTCTGTCTCCTGCAGTGATCCTGAATGTGTTGCTATCAGAGACGCCATAGGAACAGATCTGACCAATCGGCAGAGACTCCAACGCTTCAGCCTCACCCTGACGATACAGAGACACACAGGAAGCCGCCACGCCCAGCCACAACTTCTGAGAGAAGCTTCCTGTCGAGCTCTATGAGAAACAGGAGGATGATAGGCACAGCTCTGATTGTCTGGTGGTACAAACCTTTAAGATTTTTCAATGTTTTTGAAAGAAGCTTCTTAGGCTTATCAAGACTGCATCTATTTGGTAAAACAAAATACAGTAAAAACAGCATTGTGAATTATTATTACAATTTATAATAACTGTTTTCTAACATATTCCTGTGAATTTTCAGCATCATTACTCCAGTGTACTTCAGTGTCACATGATCCTTCAGAAATCATTCTAATATTCTGATTTGCCACTCAAGAAAACTTCTTGTTATTATCAATGTTGAAAACAGTTATATAGTGAAAACCACTCACTATGTAAAAGTCCACTTCATAGAGCGTGCAGCCAAACCCCGACCACTGCCGGGCGATGGTGAGATAGGCGGCCATGCTGTCTCTGCGACTGTATCCCGCCAGGGCTTTCCAGCGCTCCAAAATGGCCGACATCACCACGGCTCCCTCTTCCCTTAGTCTGGCCCGCAGTCTTTGGTCCTGTTCCTGACGCCGCTTGTGTCCCCACAGCGTCCCAGCCAGCAGACCCCCGGGGAATGAAGGACAGCCAGGGGGATCGACAGGGGCCAGTAAGGCCCGGGCCTCCACCACTTCAGCTGGAAAGAGCTGCTCCAAGGGTGGGTACGGTGAGAGGGCGCTGAAATCTCCCAGTAGACACTGCAGTCTCAACGCTGCCAGGGAAAGAAGGTCGTCCTCACAGGCTGGCAGCTGCCCCCGCACCACCATCTCATGACACTGAGACAGAGAGAGGGGGGAGGAAGTCAAGCGAGGGAAAGTTTACCGAGTTCACTAGTGTGCTGTGTTTGTATGTTTGCTTTTCACTCGACTGATAAAGACGTTAGGCACACATCGGTCCACACAAGTGTGAAACTAGTTGGAAACAAACAGAGAGGAAGAATTGGAAAATCCCTGTTTTAAATGTTCAGAGGAAGATATCCATTATTGTTATTATTAGGCTTTTATAAAACACATTCCACTATAGGCCACTTCTCTTTTAGTTTTCTTTTTCGCTGTATATTTTTACTCAACAGTCAAGTCACCTTTAGTTTTTCACAGTATTGAACATGAAAGTAACAAAACCATTGATGCAAACTTCCAAAATGAGGCAAATCCAAATTCTGCCATAAAACAGCTGTAGCCAGACAACAGTGTCATTATTCAGCTCCAGTCAGTTCAGTGTCGATTCATTTTAGTTCAATAACTGTGTAAAGTTCTGTGTGAGCAGCTCTACTGAAGATATGTTGTTACTCAGCTCAGTTCAGTTTAACGTTAATTTAATTCAGTTCATTAACAGTGTGAATATTGTAAAACTCATGAATTTCAATCATCAACATTCAGCTTAGGGGTGGGCGATTTAACGGTGGACACGATTAACTGGTAGAAATTTGTCAACCGGTAGAGATTTTTGATTATCGTCTCTCGCGGTTACACGCTCACGTGATGTTGCTGTGCTACGCAGTCACGAAAACTATCCAAATTCTGCCATAAAACAGCTGTAGCCAGACAACAGTGTCATTATTCAGCTCCAGTCAGTTCAGTGTCGATTCATTTTAGTTCAATAACTGTGTAAAGTTCTGTGTGAGCAGCTCTACTGAAGATATGTTGTTACTCAGCTCAGTTCAGTTTAACGTTAATTTAATTCAGTTCATTAACAGTGTGAATATTGTAAAACTCATGAATTTCAATCATCAACATTCAGCTTAGGGGTGGGCGATTTAACGGTGGACACGATTAACTGGTAGAAATTTGTCAACCGGTAGAGATTTTTGATTATCGTCTCTATCGCGGTTACACGCTCACGTGATGTTGCTGTGCTACGCAGTCAAGAAAACGTATCGTTTGCACGTGTTTTTAAACATTGCGCTGTCTGAGAGACGTTTCTGAGCGTAGTCAGAGAGACATGCACATGTGAATACGTGCTCATAGAGCGCGGGAATATTGAAGTTATTTTTGCCACTTTATAGGCCTTGAATGGTAAAATACACACTTTTATGTGTCAAAATACTGGTATTTGTAATTATCTTTGGAAACACACTAATTAAGGTCTTAAGTGAAAGCAAACTGCTGAGAAAGAAGACACGTGTAACAGTACGTATATTGGATCCGGGCAGCTCTTAAAGTGACAGCAGTCTAATATTCCTGCTGTCTGTCATTCATGTTAATCAAACAACAAAAGAGAAAATCTCTCATTGCTCTTGACTAAATCACTTTTGTAACTTTAATAAGAAGAAATATATATTTAATTTACACAGGAAGAATTTGCACTGTTTTTATACATTTGATTACTTTATACAATGAATGTATCATTTCTTATTTATACTGTAGTTTTTTTTGTCCTATTGTTTGTAATTAGTTTCTTATTCTTATTTGATCGTTGACCGTTTACTTTTCGTCAGTGAGCTTTTTTTTCCCATTTAGGCAAGTAATGGTTTCTTGTGATATTGAATTATGATTTCTATCAAAAGTATAAAAAATGTTGATATAAAAACCTTATTTAAAGCAAAAATAGCTATATTGTGATATATACCGTTACAGTGAAATCAAATAACTCATATCGTGATATAAGATTTTGGTCATATAGCCTACCCCTAATTTAGCTTTTTCATTTCTGCTCATCTCCGCCCATCTCTTGTCGTTTTACCTGCTCATACAGGAAGAGGTACTCAATGCTGTCTGTACTGATGTTGTCGGTGTCCAGGAGACAATACAGTTTAAAGCAGAGTCGGCACTGGCAGTCAGAGTCTGGATCTTTAGCTGACAAACTGGAAGACAGAGATAGAGATTCGTTAATGGAAAATGCATATGAATCAGATACACATCTGAAGAGGGCCCCGGCCCTCTTATAGGCTTATTATTTAACCCCTTCTCAAGCATACTAAAACTATGTATTTGTCTTAAACTATGAGTCTTTAAGTAGCTCAGGAGACTTGTCAAGCAGAGCATGGCGGCAACAAATGAAATCCTCCAACGCTTCCTAAACACACAACTAAAATCACCCCAACAAAGCGATGTCATCATTCCGAAACATATGACTCACCCTGATTTGCTAAGCTTTTTCTGCTGCTTGTGCAGTTTTGTACGCGCGGGTTTGTTTGTGTGTGTACACATATATGAGTGTGAGAGAAAGACTAGGCGTGTGTCCATGAACCCACTTCTGGGAAGAGTTGGCACTGAGACGTGCAAAAACACACACAAACACACTTCCCAGAATAAAGCGGATGCCTTGAATTCTGGCTGGCTTGGCTTATCTCTCCTTCAGTTTGCTTCCCACATCAGTTAATGCTGATGACATCAGTTTCACCTTGAGATCCCTACTGGAACACAGAATACTAATAAAGAGCTGCTTGTCCATTCTCACAGTGTGTGCGTGTGTGTATGTGCACGCATCAGGGGAGTTGGTTAAACTGTGCTAAAGTGCTGGGAAAGTTAATAAATCAATGATGAAAACACAGATCTGCACTGTACTGTACTGTGGTGCTATCGTGGATGGTAATATTATTGTTAACTTGACATATTATCATCATTATTGCAACTTGACATATACCATGGTACTGATTGATTACATGGTCTTTACATAGTACTTAAAAAACACCATAGTACTATCACGGTTAATGTTCAAAAAACATGGTACTTGCCTGGTACCATGTCCAACAAATTATAGAGCTGTGGTACTTTAGGTTCAGTACATGAGTTGTATTACACATATTACAATAGGTTGAAGATATTAAAAATATTTACTTTTCAAATCTGGTGATGACATCTGCGATTATGGTGCTGCCTCCGATAGCTTTTTCCCAGCACGAGTTCTGCTCAAAAAGAGCAAATGTGTTTCGGCTGTCCTGCAGCCCGAGGCGTTCCGCCATCTTCCTCACGACCTGGACAGAGAAAATAAGAGCAAGATTGTTATTTTAGTATTATTTATATACTATTATAGTATTTATTCATATTTTGAATTAGGTTTTATTTTTATATTTTCAGTTTTTTTATTTATTTTATTTATTTCTATTCTAGTTTTAGTTTAGTTTTCACTGTTAGTTTAGTCATTTTAGTGCATAAACTTCAGTCACTTTGTTGCCCAGTTTTTTAAGTTTAAGTTTTTCATCTAATATTTTTTAATATTTAAATTAACAAAAACAACTTTGATTTAACCTCTTGAGACCCGGCAAAACATTTCAGGAAAACATTTGTATTTTTTCATGTCATTACATTGTTTTGAACATTAAAAAAAAAAGATTAAAATAATTAAAATAATAATAATAATTAAAAATTATATTTCATGCATAAGTTATGCTACGTCCTTGGACATCGGGACTCAATTTTAAAAAAAAATAAATAAAAAGACATGAATGAACATGCATAGGCAAAAACAATTAATTTTTTAAAAATCACCAATACATTTTTAGTTTTCAGGATTTTTTTCCCCCCAAACCTTGTATAAAGATAATTCTCAACTATGTTATAACAGAATGATTTGATATACCATTTTTCTTTATGCAAAATGTGTGTAAAATGGCCATAAACTGTTTTTTTTTCATTATTATTATTATATATAATGTATCTATAAACTAAATCTAATTTGCATATTAATGTGTTTTTGGGACAACATGTAATGAAAAAAGAAGTGGAATAATGGGAGTAATAATTGACAAGATTTTCATAATAATTTATAATATTTCATAGGAATATTGAAAAAATAATTTATTTCCCTATTCATTTGTTGTGTCTCCCAAAATGTGTAATAAACATGCTTTTAGTCCCAGTGTCCTCATATGAGGACATGTATGAAATCAACATCCTTTTTCGTAACAGAAAGTCATATTTTGATTTGAAACCCCATAACATTTTCCTGAGATGTTGATTTATGACACACAGTTTAAAAATTAGTCCGATTTAAATGATAATTACAAAATATTATCATATTTCCATAAGAGTGTCACTAAATTATTATCAGACATTTTTGAAGACCAAGGAGAGGGAGTGGTCATGGTGAAACATCCAAACATTTAGTATCTCTGAAAAGCCCCTAAAACGGTGGCATGTATAGTCTCAGAGAAATTCACTGAAATATAATGTCCTCACATGAGGATGCAGGGTCTCAGGAGGTTAAAAATTATTATTTTAGTTTTAATAACAACAGAGAAAAATCCATGTTAAAGTAACGGAGCAAATTAATAAATAAATACATATTCTTACATTTTTGTGGAAGGGTAATTGCAAAAATGGAATTTAACATTACAAAAATAAATACATCTGTCTGGTTCTTATTACTTGCGTGCTAATGAATAATCCTCCGTGTGCCAATGGTGGCACATGGGCTTAAGGTTCCCAACCCCTGCTATAGAGGAAACGTTTGATGCAATACCTCATTAGCCGTGGTGTGCGAGGTGATAGGTATCTGGCAGCAGCCCGGTCCAGGGTAGTGCACAGTACACAGTATCTCCTGCCTTCCCATCAGCCCCTGGATCTCCTCCCACGAGGGCACACACTCACGGCCGCGCGTCTTCTCCAGAGCCTGGGCTATGAAGGACGCGTAGCTCTCCACCTCCGAGTCCACACTCAAACTCTGAACCCTGATAGCAGAAGAAAGGGATTTTAAGGACCATTTCCATCATTTCGCATCTAAACCGCAAAATTTCCCTCCAAAAAATCAGAGGGAAGTTGTGTGGCCTCTCTGTTTAGTTTGTCTATTTGCGATATGAAGTGTCAGCCACTTGGTAATCACATGCATGGCGGAGGCCCTTTTTGAGTTAAGTAAACACATGCGGGAAGCGTCTGGGGGCCTCAGGAGAACAGAGACTCGTCCATCTCCATTACACCAGCCGCCTCTGTAATCAAAGCCCTGTGGTCAACGCACCATTTCCTCACGGCACACTCGTTTATTTAGCCATTCTCTTATTTTCTGTCTACCCTCCGGGCCTGGCAGTACTTTAAGAGTTAATTAGCCATGAGATGCAGAAAGCATCGTGCCGTTTCCCAACCCCTCAAGGAGAGGAAAAGAACGAGCGAACAGGAAGTGCACTTTCCAATCCAGTCAACCTCAGGCAGCCCATATTTCCTACACACTCGACCGCAGGACCGGAGGCAGTTGTGCGTGTTTATACTCAAGGACTTCTAGGTAACGTTTATGTGTGTATGTTGAGATCCGGCTGGTGGATTTGTGAGTGTACACATTCAGTGCACTGTGTAGATTTGTGATGTGGGTAACCCACCTCTTCAGGTGAAAGCGTAGGTATCGGAGTATGCTGCAGCTGGGCAGGAAGGTGCAGCTCATGCAGGTGAGCAGCTGCCAGTATCGGAGCTGCGGATTCGGCTGTGTCTGTGTCTGCGTCTGGACACGTAAGTTGGTAACGCTGGTCTGTTTGATAAGCTGGCAGTAGAGTTCATCTCGGAGTGGCCGGAGGTCGAGGCAGGTCTGGAGGATCCCCTGTATGAGAGGAACGGGCTCACGGGCCAACTCCAACTGCTGGAGGCAGTTAAAAAGCCTCACCGCCTCTTCACGGATGGATGTGTAGCCTTTACCTGCCATATCTATGAAGAAAAGTAAAAGAAGGTGTGTTAACTGTGTATATACAGTATATTTTGTAGTCACTAAAAATTCAAACTTTGGATATTTCAACTTCTTTATTCAATAACTGTCCTGGAATATCACACCTTTGTCTCTGTAAATGGTCAAATAAAAGTGGCTGGTGGTCAGATTCTTTGTTTGTCCAATCAGAATGCCTTTGAGGTGCTTTTTTGCCTGTCAATCATTTTGTGCATTCAGAGTGGCAATTCATATATAGAAAGCCAGATGCTGAGAGCAAGATAGATAAACTTGAAGCATTTTTCATGAATTTGGTGCAAAATGCGTCAAGAATGCCTTTATATAGCCAAATGTCATTCAAGTCAGTCTTCTTGAACAGAAATTGTGATTACATTTCTTCACTATTGTGATGTATATTTCAGTGTAACAGCTGCTTGATCAAGAAAAAAAAACGGGACTTGATTTTGTCCTTCTGGAATTGATTTGATCATTGGATGCTTTTGTTATTTGCTGCAATCTCATGTCAGCAAGTTGCTGGAGGGGAAAGGTCATCAGCTCGTTCCTCAGATATTCTGCCAAAAAACATCAAGTTTGATTTTGATTATCATGTCTATTACGCTGAAATCTTGCGTTTTAAAGCATATTAGTTTAAACTTCTGATATACGGATTTCTGAGCGCACACATCCAAAGCACACGCACAGAAAGCGCCTGTCACACAGCAAGTTCTCTTTCATGTCTTATTGCACTGAACTGTCAAATACACACAAGTACAGTATATATTAAAAACATAAACCGAATTACAAAAACAGTCACATGTTTATATTAGATCTGTGTGGCAGCAGCGTAATATACAGTAAGTAAATTAATAAATCTTCTCTGAGGCTGGGACTCTAAACAGTGTTCTGTGCTCGTCAGTGCAGCCGAAGACAGATCTCGAACTTTTGCCATGGTGCTAGAACTGGTACACCGTTGTCGCTTGCAAAAACACAATGGGTGGAAACTTGCAGATTAAGGGGTGGTAATATTATAATAAGATCCCCTTTCTACATCATAGGGGGAGCAAAATCTGAGCGGCACGTTTTTTCACAAGCTTGCAGAGAAAGGCTTACCAAAAAAATTACTGGGTTGTTCTTTTTGACGTTTTCTGGGTTAGCAGAAGCACCGGGGGCACGATTATAGCACTTAAACACGGAAAAAGTCAGATTTTCATGAGAGAAGGTAAAAGAAATAAGAATGGTTATTTCTGATTTCATGGCGAATTCAAAAAAACAGGAGACCAAAAAACATCGGTAAAGTTTTTCATTTCGTAAAGGTTTTCAAGGAAGCTGAGAGCTTCAAAGCACTTGAAATCAGATGCAGATGCAGAGTTTGCTTTGCTTCTGCTTGACAGGTAAATATATTGCTTGGTGACCATGGTTACACCAAAATGGCAGGGTTGTAGAAAGAGGGGGTGTGTCTAATCTGATTGGTTCATTGGTTCAAATGTTCTTTATGTGAGCATTGGTGTGTATATGTGATATATGCAACATAAGTGTGTGTGTGTGTGTGTGTGTGTGTGTGTGTGTGTGTGTTTGACTCACGTGTGTGGTGGAGGCTGCCATAGGGGAAAGGCAGCAGTGGGGCGTAAAGGGGGCTCTGCGTGTACCTCAGGATGGGATTATGTTCATAGATGTGTTCTACAATTTCTGGATTGAATTTATTCTCCTGTACAAAAACAACGCACATAAACACACATAAAGCAATGCAAGGTCAATTAAACACCTTGATATATAAATAAACTCAAGACAGATATATCTGCTGTGTATCATTATATCCCCATAAACACATGAGCTGTTTGTTATGGGGTCTGTAATGAAATGATGGAATGATGTTTTATATGGAAATGTTGTGTTTGGGAAAACGGCTGAGGGGGGATGAATGAAAGGGAAACAGATTTCATCTTACAGATGGACTTGACAACCCTGGTTGTTGTTGAATAATGGCAGTTTATGTTTGTTGGGACGTTTGCTTATAACAGACATGATAAACCAACCTAAGACCAGTTAAATGTGACAAGACCTCCTGCCGTAACCACTATGTGCTGTATGTGTGAGTTTATGAGAGGTAAAATAAATAGTACATACATATATAAACTTAAGATTACAACATTTTCATCAAAACAAAGCTTATTTTATTGTATTATTTTTAAAAAGCAATACAGCAAAAATATAGTGTCTTTTTGCAAAGACTATATTGAGAATAAAGCTCAGCCTCCCTTATCTTGTTGTTAAAATATTTAATATCCATGCATATCTTATCTATAAGAGATATATAGCAATCAGCAAGGTCGTTTAGGGGTCTGGGCACTTAACATTTCAACCACTGCGGTTTTCACGCCTGTCTGTCTGTCTGTCCGTTTATGTGCGACCTCAATGGGATTCCGGGTAGTTCTGTGGGCTAGCAACTAGCATCCTATTAATACAGATCTATCCAAGAGTGCAGGCATTACATCATAACAACAGGGTTATTCTCAAGAGCTAGTGTGTGTGTGTGTGTGTGTGTGTGTGTGTGTGTGTGTGTTTGACTCACGTGTGTGGTGGAGGCTGCCATAGGGGAAAGGCAGCAGTGGGGCGTAAAGGGGGCTCTGCGTGTACCTCAGGATGGGATTATGTTCATAGATGTGTTCTACAATTTCTGGATTGAATTTATTCTCCTGTACAAAAACAACGCACATAAACACACATAAAGCAATGCAAGGTCAATTAAACACCTTGATATATAAATAAACTCAAGACAGATATATCTGCTGTGTATCATTATATCCCCATAAACACATGAGCTGTTTGTTATGGGGTCTGTAATGAAATGATGGAATGATGTTTTATATGGAAATGTTGTGTTTGGGAAAACGGCTGAGGGGGGATGAATGAAAGGGAAACAGATTTCATCTTACAGATGGACTTGACAACCCTGGTTGTTGTTGAATAATGGCAGTTTATGTTTGTTGGGACGTTTGCTTATAACAGACATGATAAACCAACCTAAGACCAGTTAAATGTGACAAGACCTCCTGCCGTAACCACTATGTGCTGTATGTGTGAGTTTATGAGAGGTAAAATAAATAGTACATACATATATAAACTTAAGATTACAACATTTTCATCAAAACAAAGCTTATTTTATTGTATTTATTGTATTATTTTTAAAAAGCAATACAGCAAAAATATAGTGTCTTTTTGCAAAGACTATATTGAGAATAAAGCTCAGCCTCCCTTATCTTGTTGTTAAAATATTTAATATCCATGCATATCTTATCTATAAGAGATATATAGCAATCAGCAAGGTCGTTTAGGGGTCTGGGCACTTAACATTTGTCTGGGTGCGGTTTTCACGCCTGTCTGTCTGTCTGTCCGTTTATGTGCGACCTCAATGGGATTCCGGGGAGTTCTGTGGGCTAGCAACTAGCATCCTATTAATACAAATCTATCCAAGAGCGCCGGCATTACATCATAACAACAGGGTTATTCTGAAGAGCTACTCGCTGCCTTCGAAACTATTTCCAGAGACACGGTATACCGAGGAGCACATCTATAAGTGTAAAATCACTAGCCAACAAACTAAGAATAATATAGTGGGGCAGAAAGATGACAGTGGGTGGGGTTTAGATGGTTTACACACCATGTCTGTATATGTGTGCCATCCTGAACTGGTCTTTAGGAGCTAAGCTGCCATATATATATATATATATACACACACACATACAGTGGAGACAAAAAAAACTATTATATTATCTTACATTATGCACTATTTTCCAAAATCTGACTGGGGTCAATAAGATTTTTAAATATTTTTGGAAAAGTTTCACATGCTCAACAAGGGTGCATTTATGTGATCAAAAATACAGTAAAAGCTGTAAAATTGTGAAATATTGCTTGAATTTAAAATAACTGTTTACTATTTTAATATATTTTAAAATGCTATTTATTCCTGTGATGGCAAAGCTGAATTTTCAGCATCATTACTCCAGTCTTCAGTGTCACATGATTCTTCAGAAATCATTCTGATATGCTGATTTGCTGCTCAAGAAACATTTCTTATTGATGTTGAAAACAGTTCTGCTGCTTAATACTTTTAAGGAAACTTTCAGGATTCTCTGATTAAAAGAAAGTTCAAAAGAACAGCATTTATTTGAAATAGAAATCTTTTATAAATGCCCTTACTGTCACTTATGTTCTATTTAAAGCATCCTTTCTAAATAAGTGTGCGCATGCAACATTTACAATCCCTCTTGATATATGTTTGACATGCTGTCATGTTCATCTCTGTTGCTACTTGTTCTCTCACCTCAATGTCTCGTATGAGGAGCAGTGTTGGCGTCTCAACCGGCGCTTTGCTGTCTATGACTTTCTGTACAGCGCACGCCCAGTGCACCGCCTCATTGTAGTGCTTTGTGAAGAGTCTGTAGCAATGTTTGCGGCCATACACTGTCAGACTCCAGTAACCTGTCACAAATACACATTAAAGAGGCCCATATTTAGTGCAACTCTTTAAAAAGTGCCATTCAACAAAGAGGAGCAATACAAAAATAGCATCTCCTAACAATTAGGAGAGTACATAAACAAAGAAAAGCAAAAAAACAAATAAATAATGCAACAAAACATATACTGTTTCTGATTAAAGACAAAGGTCCTAGAGCTCCAGCATACTGACAACCTCATATTTCACGTGTCCGACCTGCAGTAAATGTGTTCAGATGTTCTGAGAGAGCTGGATCTAGATCTTTTATGAGGATCTAACTAATATCTCATTTCTCCCCTGTTGTTAACTTTGGCAGTCAAAAGAATGAAGCTTTAGTTCAAAACACACTATTTCTTTACAATCTCCATGAAGTCCACCAATCTCTCTAGACTGTTTGGGGGCAAGTATTCGCTCTACACAAGCACTCGCAAAGAGCAATATCTAGCCAATTAAATATTTTACAGCAGAACAATGTATATTCGCTGTTGAAATTCATTTCTATGACTATTTCATGGTTACATTCCCTGATATTTCCAGGTTTTTCAGAACCAGTGGGTGTTCTAAAATTTACAGGCCAAACTATTTGGTGTCCACTGTAAACATCTCCGATTTATTAGGCAAAAATTGTACCTCATTAATGTCTTCATTAACAGATCTGTTTTACTCTCTGGACGAGCCAAAGCATTAGCCATGGTATTATATGACAACTTTTTTGTTAAAAGAAGGACACACACACACACAAACACACAAAGCTTTACTTTCAAACATACACTTCTATCTAGGAAAGTTAATCTGGGAAAAGTTCTGAGTTCTGTGGACAGTGCTGGTTAAAAGTTTGTGTGCGTGTGTGTGTGTGTGTGTGTGTGTATGTGTATGATTCAGAACTCAAGCTGAGTATGTGCCATGTGAACACACACACACATACATATACAGTATGACTAAGCCTCTGAGTCTGTCTGGTCATTCCCTACAATCTTCCCAGACAACAATGCCTCTCGTTTGTCTGCCTTCATTTCTCTTTTGGTCTTCTCATACAATCCTGCATTTCATTTCCTCAATCAAAGTCTTCCCACAAGAAAGAATTCCCACCAATGCCGACAAGAGATCAACAGGTCTCACGGTCGCTTTGTGCCTGTGATCTGTCCAGAAGATCAGCTCTTTCTGAAAAAATGCGTGTCACTGTGAGTGCAAACCCAAAAATAGTGAGTGAAATATTGTTTATATTCCACTGGACTATGAATTCTGGCTCACACCATTTATTGACCAGGACAAAGAGTGACAAACAAATAAAGTCATCCTGGGTTTCTGTAGGCTTTATGAAAACTTTTTAAAGACCTTTTTAAGACCAAGTAAAACAATTAAGGAATACATTGAAGAAAACATTATATCAATATGTTCTCTAAATGTAAATCTCAAGGGAGTAAACAATTAACTTTCAACCGATCTCCATCACTGAAAAAAACGAATTCCAAACCATTTTCAATCAAAAATGGCTAGTAAATTACACAAGCAATTACAAAGAAACAGCAAGTAACACTTTCAATTAAACATTATGTTTTAAGTAGAAAAACTGAAATAGTATTTTCTTGGGGTGTTCGTTCATACTGACACAAATTTTGTCAGTATATTTTTGTGGTGTCAAAATGTTTGAGGAGAGGTTGATTGTGGAATTTCAAAAAAAAAAAATTATAATAAAAAGGAATATTATATGATAAAAATCACCAAAACAACCTTAAAATCATCACCCAAGTCATGAGAAAACGGAGGATGTGGTTTTAGTTTTATGCTCTTTCACCTTTCAGTGCAGAAAGAACTGTTTCGACTGATACCTTATTTATCCCTAAAATGTACATATTAGTTATACAGAAAAAAAACATGTACCTTTAGGGTACTATGGTACCCCTTCCAGGGGTAAATAAGGCAGAATATTTTCCCTTTAAGTGTGACAAGCTGTTGAACCCCTAAATGTACAATCTTGCACACTTTTTCTGAGAGTGTAAAAACAAGACTAGACCGTCCTAGTTTAATTGCAGACGCGTTACCTGTCTGTTTGTAGGTGTGTTTATCCGGCCACAGAACTGAACAGAGGGATGTGAGTACTAGCGTGCCCAGTCTGCGAGCATCACTCTCCGGGCCGCTGTAGTAGTCAAGAGAGTCTGTTGTCAACACAAACCAGAACCTCCTCTGCCGGAGCCAAGCTCCCTGCACCTCCCGCAGGAGCCAGCCTGAAAAACAAAACAGAGGAGAATACCCATATTATACATGATAAATACTGTTACAGACCAATCAAATAAGAATATGGAGATTCCATTTCAAAACCTGACAGAAATGAATGATGTTTCATTTGAAATATCATTCTTTGAGAGCTAGTTCCCAGCGCTCATGCAGAGTCAGACTGAGTGATCATGGAAAAAGGCGAAACAGCACAAACCAGCCCGTCCACATCCAGCCGAGAGCAGGATACCAACACTCCACTCACCCAACTTAATAGAGGGTTGTGTTAAGGTCACACTAGGGATACAATCTCCCTCCAGACCTTCAGAAAGTTTGTTGTCTATGCACAAATGTGTATCAGAGCCAATAATCAAGAAACATTTCATGGGAAAAGTGCTTTTTTTTTTTAGTAAACCTTCATGACACTTGGACAATGTTACCTTTTTTCCGCTGCTGCTTGCAGATGCATTGCACCTGCTACCTTTCCCTTTGAATATGTGTGTGTGTGTGTGTGTGTGTGAGTCAGCCAGACAGATAGACTGGGGGAAGACTGTCTTATTTAGCAGCTCTGCGGGCCAGCATGAGACAGGCTGGCGGAGCATTTGGACCCCTCTACACTAATATTACTCTGCCCTGCTTATTATTACTCATTACATGTGATTGAGTATTATTACCACTCCAGTGCAGCAAATACTGCATAGCACTCACATTTGCGCACTCTGAGATCATGGACAACTCTGAATAACACACACACACTTAAATCTGTGGTCAGCAGCTTAAGTGTTGGTTAATAATGTCTAACTGTCTCAAATTCTCAATTGGTGTGTCAGCCAATTCGTGTGTCTGATGCGCGTGTGTGTACTGGGGACTATGGACTGTTCCCGAAAGTGAACTAAAGCTGACAAAAACATCCTTTGGGTAGATTTGAGTTTATACTAAATATATTATTTGTAAACTTACATGTAATTACATGTAAACATGTATAGTGTTTTTTAATGGAAAATGTAATTGTAGGTATAGGAGTCGCAGATTGATCAATATTGGTATTTCACCACAAATACAAATAATACTGATTATTTTTAAGTGTTAAATAATCAATGTGTTGTCAACTGATAAATATTGTTTAGTTTCTGTTTTTATTGACATAGTATTACTTGAATATTACTGTAAATGTAAATTCTGAAAGTAATTCTGAATGTTACAAAAGTTTACAATTTCAAATAAATGCTTTTCCACAGAAATATTGACAATGAGAAATATTTCTTGAGCATCAAATCAGCATATTAGATTGATTTCTGAAGGATCATGTGACACTGAAGACTGGAGTAATGCCTGCTGAAAATTCAGCTTTGCAAATATAAAAAGTTACTTTATAATATTTCATAATACTTTTACGGTTTCATATTATTTTGAATATTTTTGATCAAATAAATGCAGCCTTGGTGAGTATGAGATTTCTTTCAAAAACATAAAAAAAACTATTTGTGACCCTGGAGCACAAAAGCAGTCTTAAGTAGCACAGGTATATTTGTAGCAATAGCCAAAAATACACTGTATGGATCAAAATTATAGATTTTTATTTTATGCCAAAAATCATTAGGATATTAAGTAAATTCATTGTTCCATGAAGATATTTTGTAAATTTTCTACTGTAAATATATTTAAACTTAATTTTTGATTAGTAATATGCATTGCTAAGAACTTCATCTGGACAACTTTAAAGGCGATTTTCTCAATATTCTGATTTTTTTTTGCACCCACAGATTTCAGATTTTCAAATAGTTGTATGTATCCTATCCTAACAAACCATACATCAATGGAAAGCTTATTTATTCAGCTTTCAGATGATGTATAAATCTCAATTTCGAAAGATTTACCCTTATAACTGGTTTTGTGGTCCTATTATTTTGGGGTCACATTTAATAACTAACTTTTGAACAGTTGCATGTTTATCTGTACACCTGATAATTACCAATAATGATAAAGTTGAATATTAATATCTAATTACTATGTTAGTCTATTTGGGTTAGTTTATACTAATTATAATTATCTTTATATAAAGACAGTAGAAATATATGGTATGTCCTCATTTAGATGGCTCAGTGTGTGTGTGTGTGTGTGTGTGTGTGTAGACATTGTTCAGCCTGCTGCACCCTGGTTTATACAGAGGTAGTTATGAGTCAGATTTGAGATTAACTCACTACAGATAAAGCTGCCAGTGTCATAAAGTTTAAAACACAATTCAACCTTTGAAATTGTAATCTACATGCTGTAAAACTGAAACAAGTACAAATCTAATTTTCTTCAGATTAAGGATTCCAAGTAACCAGCATAATAAAAAGGGGGGCATAATTCACACAAATGCACCAATGCATGCAAAGAATCAGTTTAGTTTTACAGCCATAATGACTTGATCTGGTGAATCAGAGTTATTAAGCAGAAGAATTTCTTCCTCACCCTTCACAAGCACCTCAGGGTCTTCATCCATTGTCATTTTGCTCTTCTGTGTGATGAGACTTCTCTTCTCCTCAGGAACTCCTGACAGACTGAACAACATGAAACACAACACAGACGTCAGCAGTGTGCCTACTGTAACCCAGTAAGTACTGTACGGCCCCCTCCCCTAACCCCCAAAACACATACACACACACACACACATATATGCACACCCATCCCTTGAGGGAAGTTGGGGTCAACATCACACTTCTGCTGCTAAAACAGACCCCAACATAGCACAAAACCACTTCACATATGCAGACATTTCACATCTCACACACAAACACAACGCACACACGCACATCTCTCCACCCTCCACCACCATGGCCAGGCAGGCACAGCTTTATCGGTCTGGCAGCCAGGGAAAAGACTGAAAATAAACGTGACTAAGAGACGCCAAGGACACTCGCACGCAAAGAGAGAACTAGGAAGAGCTTAGGAGAACAAGAGTGGTCTAGAGGTACTGACAAGAAAATAGTTGTCAAATAGTCATCACTAAAGTTCACAGGGCCTGGGACAAAAATGTCATGGGTGGGTCCACTTTCCCTCGGGGCTCAATAAATATGCACTATACTATAAAGGACCTTAGTAGGACACTCCTCATCATTTTAGACTTTCTTTAGGAATTTTTGCCCATTCATCCAGCAGAGCATTTGTGAGGTCAAGCACTTATGTTGGAGAAGGCCTTGCAATGTGTTCAATGGGGTTGAGGTCAGGGCTCACAGTCAAGTTCTTTCAAACCAAACTTATCCAACCAAGTTTTTATGGACCTTGCTTTGTGACCTAGGGCACAGTCATGCTGGAATAGAAAAGGCCTTCCCCAAACTCTTCCCACAAATTTGGAAGCATTGCTCAAAATATCTTGGTAGATTTTCCTTCACTTAAAGTTAGAAGCCTAGCCCCTGAAAAATAGCCCATTCCATTATCCCTCTTTCAACAAACTTTACAATTGTCACAATGCTGTCAGAGAGGGAACGTTTTCCTAGCATCCATAATTAGACTGCCAGAGAAGCCAGATTCGTTACTTCACAGAACAGGTTTCCACTGCTCCAGAGTCCAGTGGTGGCGCGCTTTACACCACTCCATTTGACGCTTGGCATTGTACTAATTGATTCGAGGCTTGCATGCAGTTGCTCGGCCATGGAAACCAATTCCATGAGGCTACCGCCGCACAGTTTTTGCGCACGTATTATTGCCAGTAGAAGTTTGGTACTCCTCAGCTATCGAATCGCAACTTTTACGAACCATGCGCCTCAGCGCTCTGTGACTTTACGTTGTCTTCTGCTTCACGGCTGTATTGCTGCTGTTCCTAAACACTTTCACTTTCCAATAATACCATTTACAGTTGACCATGGAATATTCAGCAGGGATGAAATTTCACAAATTGATGAGGTTGTTTCTTGCAAGAAACAACTCATGTCATCATCAACATGGATAAAAATCAAGGTTTTTAAATGGCTAATTGTACACCTGGACTAAAAGACTCTTGTTAAGAACAGAATAACAGCTTGTAATGAGCAGGTAAAAGATTAGTCAGAGGACGTCATTAGCTAACAAATGATAGATGTTTTGGGGAATGCTGGGAGCACAAGTACCTTGAAGTAGACAGTGATGGATGGATAATCACTCCGATAACACTGGCACCCAGACAGTCTAAAACACACACACTTTGGGCTAAAAAGGAGGAATTGAATGTGACAGTGTAGGTTAATCAAATGAGACATTCCTGAATCTCCTGTTATCTAAAGTCAGAACTTAATTTGGCACTAATTATCTGGACTTGCTAGTTTCTCACCAAAATTGGCCATTTGTTAAGTCAATCAAATGGAGAGTCCTCAAAACTAATTTCCTCATACTGATGCTCTGGAAAAACATCATGGTTTGTAACCAGAGATCATGATCATTGACTGGCCCAGTGTCTCTAAAATATTGACAATGAGAAATATTTCTTGAGCATCAAATCAGCATATTAGATTGATTTCTGAAGGATCATGTGACACTGAAGACTGGAGTAATGCCTGCTGAAAATTCAGCTTTGCAAATATAAAAAGTTACTTTATAATATTTCATAATACTTTTACGGTTTCATATTATTTTGAATATTTTTGATCAAATAAATGCAGCCTTGGTGAGTATGAGATTTCTTTCAAAAACATAAAAAAAACTATTTGTGACCCTGGAGCACAAAAGCAGTCTTAAGTAGCACAGGTATATTTGTAGCAATAGCCAAAAATACACTGTATGGATCAAAATTATAGATTTTTATTTTATGCCAAAAATCATTAGGATATTAAGTAAATTCATTGTTCCATGAAGATATTTTGTAAATTTTCTACTGTAAATATATTTAAACTTAATTTTTGATTAGTAATATGCATTGCTAAGAACTTCATCTGGACAACTTTAAAGGCGATTTTCTCAATATTCTGATTTTTTTTTGCACCCACAGATTTCAGATTTTCAAATAGTTGTATGTATCCTATCCTAACAAACCATACATCAATGGAAAGCTTATTTATTCAGCTTTCAGATGATGTATAAATCTCAATTTCGAAAGATTTACCCTTATAACTGGTTTTGTGGTCCTATTATTTTGGGGTCACATTTAATAACTAACTTTTGAACAGTTGCATGTTTATCTGTACACCTGATAATTACCAATAATGATAAAGTTGAATATTAATATCTAATTACTATGTTAGTCTATTTGGGTTAGTTTATACTAATTATAATTATCTTTATATAAAGACAGTAGAAATATATGGTATGTCCTCATTTAGATGGCTCAGTGTGTGTGTGTGTGTGTGTGTGTGTGTAGACATTGTTCAGCCTGCTGCACCCTGGTTTATACAGAGGTAGTTATGAGTCAGATTTGAGATTAACTCACTACAGATAAAGCTGCCAGTGTCATAAAGTTTAAAACACAATTCAACCTTTGAAATTGTAATCTACATGCTGTAAAACTGAAACAAGTACAAATCTAATTTTCTTCAGATTAAGGATTCCAAGTAACCAGCATAATAAAAAGGGGGGCATAATTCACACAAATGCACCAATGCATGCAAAGAATCAGTTTAGTTTTACAGCCATAATGACTTGATCTGGTGAATCAGAGTTATTAAGCAGAAGAATTTCTTCCTCACCCTTCACAAGCACCTCAGGGTCTTCATCCATTGTCATTTTGCTCTTCTGTGTGATGAGACTTCTCTTCTCCTCAGGAACTCCTGACAGACTGAACAACATGAAACACAACACAGACGTCAGCAGTGTGCCTACTGTAACCCAGTAAGTACTGTACGGCCCCCTCCCCTAACCCCCAAAACACATACACACACACATACACATATATGCACACCCATCCCTTGAGGGAAGTTGGGGTCAACATCACACTTCTGCTGCTAAAACAGACCCCAACATAGCACAAAACCACTTCACATATGCAGACATTTCACATCTCACACACAAACACAACGCACACACGCACATCTCTCCACCCTCCACCACCATGGCCAGGCAGGCACAGCTTTATCGGTCTGGCAGCCAGGGAAAAGACTGAAAATAAACGTGACTAAGAGACGCCAAGGACACTCGCACGCAAAGAGAGAACTAGGAAGAGCTTAGGAGAACAAGAGTGGTCTAGAGGTACTGACAAGAAAATAGTTGTCAAATAGTCATCACTAAAGTTCACAGGGCCTGGGACAAAAATGTCATGGGTGGGTCCACTTTCCCTCGGGGCTCAATAAATATGCACTATACTATAAAGGACCTTAGTAGGACACTCCTCATCATTTTAGACTTTCTTTAGGAATTTTTGCCCATTCATCCAGCAGAGCATTTGTGAGGTCAAGCACTTATGTTGGAGAAGGCCTTGCAATGTGTTCAATGGGGTTGAGGTCAGGGCTCACAGTCAAGTTCTTTCAAACCAAACTTATCCAACCAAGTTTTTATGGACCTTGCTTTGTGACCTAGGGCACAGTCATGCTGGAATAGAAAAGGCCTTCCCCAAACTCTTCCCACAAATTTGGAAGCATTGCTCAAAATATCTTGGTAGATTTTCCTTCACTTAAAGTTAGAAGCCTAGCCCCTGAAAAATAGCCCATTCCATTATCCCTCTTTCAACAAACTTTACAATTGTCACAATGCTGTCAGAGAGGGAACGTTTTCCTAGCATCCATAATTAGACTGCCAGAGAAGCCAGATTCGTTACTTCACAGAACAGGTTTCCACTGCTCCAGAGTCCAGTGGTGGCGCGCTTTACACCACTCCATTTGACGCTTGGCATTGTACTAATTGATTCGAGGCTTGCATGCAGTTGCTCGGCCATGGAAACCAATTCCATGAGGCTACCGCCGCACAGTTTTTGCGCACGTATTATTGCCAGTAGAAGTTTGGTACTCCTCAGCTATCGAATCGCAACTTTTACGAACCATGCGCCTCAGCGCTCTGTGACTTTACGTTGTCTTCTGCTTCACGGCTGTATTGCTGCTGTTCCTAAACACTTTCACTTTCCAATAATACCATTTACAGTTGACCATGGAATATTCAGCAGGGATGAAATTTCACAAATTGATGAGGTTGTTTCTTGCAAGAAACAACTCATGTCATCATCAACATGGATAAAAATCAAGGTTTTTAAATGGCTAATTGTACACCTGGACTAAAAGACTCTTGTTAAGAACAGAATAACAGCTTGTAATGAGCAGGTAAAAGATTAGTCAGAGGACGTCATTAGCTAACAAATGATAGATGTTTTGGGGAATGCTGGGAGCACAAGTACCTTGAAGTAGACAGTGATGGATGGATAATCACTCTGATAACACTGGCACCCAGACAGTCTAAAACACACACACTTTGGGCTAAAAAGGAGGAATTGAATGTGACAGTGTAGGTTAATCAAATGAGACATTCCTGAATCTCCTGTTATCTAAAGTCAGAACTTCATTTGGCACTAATTATCTGGACTTGCTAGTTTCTCACCAAAATTGGCCATTTGTTAAGTCAATCAAATGGAGAGTCCTCAAAACTAATTTCCTCATACTGATGCTCTGGAAAAACATCATGGTTTGTAACCAGAGATCATGATCATTGACTGGCCCAGTGTCTCTAATGGAAGAGCCCGATCTCTCTCTCTCACACACACACACACACACACACACACTGTATGTGTACTTATATTAATATTTTGGACAATATCAATAAGCTTATTTTCATGATATGACCGGTAACAAAATGCTGAACAAGCTAAATCAAGCAAACTAACATCAACTGTTTTAAATGCTACATGTGAATTTAGGCATCACAACATTTTAATGTACAATATGTAAAATTGCTGTTCATTTTGAATTTTGCTCAAGATTTAACTGTGTTATTAACTGTTATCGTTAAATGCTGACAAATGTGAATATGTAAAATTAAATATCTGCTCTGCATTCTGGCTCCAGTCTTTCTAAAGCTGTATTTTGAAGCCTGCCAATCTGGTCTAAGAGTATGTTGCCTCTTCATTGACCTTAGATACGATAGCGGTGTCTGAATATTTTTGTGTTCTTTGAATATCTTGAACCCCCATCAGTGTTCTGTACATTTATTTACAGGTCTGTTTACAAGTGTATGCGTGTAATGGAGATGCAGTGGTAGATCCCTGTGGATTTGCATCACTCTCTAATTTAAGTTGAAGCTCAGACGGAGTCAAGAGTTTACAGACATCCATCAGAAAGAGAGAGAGAGAGAGAGAGAGAATGAGGGAAAGAGGCAGGCAGCACAAAAAGAGGAAGCCTCCAATCGCAGGAGCTGTGAGGGCTGGAATCAGCCAGTCAGAACCTGCCAGAACCGGTTCATGGATCAGAGCAGAATCAAGATCAACAATCCGGTTTTAACAAAAAACCTTCTCTGTCCTGCAGGCATGAGAACAACCCTCATCCTAATCTAGACAGCATTAACACACACACTGATAAAATGAGCTGAGGTCTATCTCTGCTAGAGGCCCCTGGAATGAGACCAGCGTGCAGATACGGACAAACATTCTCTGCTATATAGAGACTTTAGAGGGCAGTAAGATATCTTATGGATTGATATGGGGTATAAAAGTGGAGATGAGCTTTATGACTCCTGTCTCGGGGGGCTAGAACTGTTTTACTATCTCTGTCTAGACTATCAGTAAAACTAAAAATGTTTTTTATAAATATGGAGTTGAGAGAGGTCTGTGATGGTGACCTAAAAGGACAGATATTTTTGTGCTAAACAGAAAAACCGGAGCAGCAGGCGATGACTGATCCAGGTCGGCACACGCCTCATTTCACTTAAAGGCTATAGAGAGATATGAAACACTGACTCATCGGATTATCTCTTACCTCTGTTCAGGACATGACAGTACAGGAGCCTGTAATACTCAACACAGAGTGTGCACTACAAAGTAGGAACTCACAATCCAAGTCCTGTTTCCAACAGCAAGCACATGCATCGGCACTGCGACATAACTCCAAAAGCAGACTTACAATATGCACTGGCATTGTTTTTGCTACATAAGAGCTGTGGCTCTGATTTCTGAAGTGATTTCTGGGTTGTAGCTGAGAATTTAGTTATAGCAGCGAAGATAGATTGATAGATAGATACTAAACTGGT